TTGCAAAACACAAAATATGAAACCTGAGATTTGCATGTATCTCCGCATGAACCCAACAAACCTTCATGCCAAAACTGGTGAAGATCTGTCGACAGGGGGTGAAGTAGTAGTAAAAAATGCAAAAACGCTCATAAAAACCGCAAAACGCAAAATGCAAAACTGAAAATTTATATGTACCCCCGCATGGACCTAATGAACCTCCACACCAATGATGGTGAAGATCCATCAACATCCTGCGAAGTAGTTACATGGACATACAACATACAACAGACAGTACTATTATATTTATATAGATACGTCCATAAAAGCTCAAGAAGTTTAGTTACATATCATGTTACTAATCAAAGTTATAACTGGAAGTTTACTTGTAGGATCTTTTTTTCCCTCTGGTGAAAATAGTTTCCAATGCTTATATTTCATAGTATATTGCTTGAATGTTAGAGGAAGTTGAATTTGTGTTATTTAAAACAACATAATTGAGTCTTTCAGTCTATTCCGCATTCCTGAATAGCAAGGGTTGAATCTCTTATTCTGGTTGGTAGACTGATCAGCTTTGTATTGAGCCTGTTCTGCATTAGTTAATAGTAAATAGCAAGGGTTGAATCTCTTATTCTGGTTGGTAGACTGATCAGCTTTGTATTGAGCCTGTTCTGCATTAGTTAATAGTAAATAGCAAGGGTTGAATCTCTTATTCTGGTTGGTAGACTGATCAGCTTTGTATTGAGCCTGTTCTGCATTATTTAATAGTAAATAGCAAGGGTTGAATCTCTTATTCTGGTTGGTAGTCTGATCAGCTTTGTATCAGTTTTAGGTTACTATTTTATGCTTTCGATTTTTAAGGGTAAGTTAGCTTTATGTAGTTGGTTCTGATCGCTTTATTCTTTATACATTTTCTATGTAAAAATAGGTATATCATAAAATCGATAACCATAGCTACTATTGGGTTTTGTAACGTATAATATTTTTATCGTTATACGTATTTTGTTTTTACAATATTTTCGATAACACGGGTTCTCCTTGGGTAGATAAATTAGTCTGGCAACCAACTAACCAGAAAAGTCGTTTAACAACCAGCCTACTATATGGGAGAAACAAATAATTAATTCATACATGGGTAAACTCACCAATATTCTAAGAGTGTTCTACATAATTACTATTTTTGTTATAAGGTTAATGATGAAGAAACTACAACCTAACAATCAATTTCAACGAAAAAATTGTCTTCTGTTGTTGTTTTTGTTTTAGAATTTGCGCAAAGCTGCACAAATAATTATCTGTGCAAAACCGTCCATAATTTTGAATTGATAGGCTAAAGGGAAGTCAGTTATTCAATAACACTCATCTACAACTCTTGGGGCTTCTCTTATCTGACAGAATAGTGGGATTTGACCGATAATCTTACAGCACACCCACAAACAACCCAAAGGAAAGGATCGTGATTGTGCAGCAACGGGACGCAAACCATAATTCCTTGAATTAACAGTTCGGTCACACTAAACTACAGACTACGCCCGGCTTACAACAAACTTCAAAACATTTTAATGGATTTCGTCAAACACTTTGCCAACATGATAATTATCTGTACTTTCATTTTACTTATTACCAATTAACCGTTCTTCGGTAGGTCAGTGAATAGTCTACGGATTTACAGTGCAAAAATCCGGAGTTTGAGTCCCCACGGTGGACATCGCAAATAGTCTAGTGTGGCTTTGTGCTGAAAACAAACCAAACTAATTAACTACTTCATGACTAATGTGAAGATTATTCGAAGTTAAGACATATACGAAAGAAAAGTCACAATATTTGCCAAAATTCTTACATATTATATATATATATCCAGAGAGGAAATTTGTATATATATATATATTATTTATCTTTGCTGAGATTAACTATTCTTTGTTATTTTATATATTATATATTTCTTTGTTTTATATTTCCTGTTATCACTTAGTCTAATACTTCCCACTGTATTTGACTTTGTTAACTTTGTATCGTTACCTATAGTATTTTGTATAGCGGTCCGAAAAAATTCTCTATTACTAAGCGACCTTTGGCCACCGTTTCAGGCGAATGTTCCCGTCCTTTCAAGTGCGAGTGTTCGGTATGGATAACCTGGCTGAGTATATGATGATGACGGATTTCGTACCAGTTGATGATAAGCGGTATAGATATTCCTTTCAGAGGTATGATTTATTGCACACTTAAATGCATTTATAAGCAAAGAAAGGGTTATTCACTTAGTTGTTTTTGTACTAATCTGTTGTTGGTTAGCGTTGCAATTTCAGTCGTTCATATAATCATACACTTACACTCCTTATCATATATGAAATTATTGCATTGAACTGAGGCAAACAGTTGAATAATTTTGTCGTGTAAACAATATATATACGCATCAGATTAATGGACTATGCATATAATTACTCAACTTTGATATTGTGTGTGGGTGTATTTTTTATATAGAGTGTATTCATTCAGTTTATTGTTGAACTTTGTTTTTGTCCTTCCAGCTCAACCTGGATTGTATCAGGTAAATCAGACCCGGTTATGCCACCACGAATTCACGTTCATCAGGACTCTCCTGCAAAAGGTAGCCAATGGATGAAACAAGTAGTTTCTTTTGATCGATTGAAATTGACAAATAATCAAATGGATAACAATGGCCACGTAAGTAAATTTTAGACGAAAGTTCTGGATCATTTCTAGTAAATATGCATGAAAAGAATTAATTAAAATCTTGAAAATATATATGTGTGTATCATTTTTATAATGTTACGCTTTGATCAAAGCGTCTCAAGGTTTCTTGTGCTGTTCAATAAGTTGTATTAATGTGTTTTACTTATTTTAATTCTACCCTGTTTCATTAAAAGTATTTGACTTCTCACAACTGATTGCAGATGTGAGATTGTGGGCTTGACTACACGTAATGTTTATATATTTTTTACATGCGAGGCTTAGAGGTATAGGTAAAATCTAATAAACAGTGTATACCTTCCGCGGGTTTGTCCTAATTCTGTAGATAACTCTCTTTCTGAGACAGTGTTTACCTTATTTCATATTGGTCTTATGCTTTATTTTTATTGTATGTCGTTTTGGTTTGCCTCCAATGCGTCCGAAGGCTTATAACATTGTAAACGGGGTTGCGATACTCGTGGTGGATACAGCTCAGAGAGCCCATTGTGTAGTTTTGTGTTTAATAACAAACCAAACCATCGACTTTGTGGTTTTGGTTTTGTTGTCTGTAAAGTACTAACTGCTCCCTGACTACTAATACAAATTCAAATTCACTTTAGATTCTTTATTAAATTTAAACACGTACCATATATATATTACACAGTTGTGATTTACATATTATCTATTTCAAATGTTAATTTCATAACGCATAAAAAAAGGAAGTCCATTAATCCGTTTTCCTGGAAAACAAAACAAAATAAAGAAAGAAACAAAAAAGAAACCAACAATAAAGCCATTGTGCTCACGAAATCTGTCCTCTTTACCGATGCAACTCGTAAGTAATGCTGTTGATTAGGTGATTAATAATACTGACGACAGGAGTAGTTAGAGTGTATGATATGCGGCTATTTTTGTAAACATGCTGCAAGTTTAATAAAACTTATCTATTACTACCTACTAACCAAAATTTAACACCCACTAGTTGAAATACTTAAAAGTCCCTTCTATTGGACTGATGGGCAGTTCGAAAGTTTTAAGGTGGTTCCTTATACAGGAGTAATAAAAATTGATAACTGCTGTCGTTATGGTGTAGAAATTGATTGATGAAATGATAGAACATATATTTTCATCAGTAGTTTGGTTCAAATGCAACTTTGGCCATCAGTAATTTGGTCTTGGGCATACATATTTTCGCGTGTATGTGTTTCAGCATGTATTTTTTTCGAAATAATGAACAGCTTTGATACAAGGCAACCCAATCTATTTTTTATACTGTTTATCTTCAAAATCAAAATACTAAATTTAAAGTAACTAGTGAACCTGGTGAACTGTAGTTTATATGTAGATCTTTTTTTTAATTGTCTAAAGCAACCTGAAGTTTGTTAGACGTAATCTGAAATAAATAAACAAATAACTGACTCCTATATTATATTACTTTTATCAACGTTTCGGCTTTCATCTTCTTCAGGATACTTAGCACAGCGCCAAATAAAATGTTGTGGTAGACTAAACATTCAAAAGAAGGCCATGTGTCATTTTTAAGCAAGAAATGACAAAATAGGCTATATGCGCGGTGCCCGCCTGGGTATCGAACCTTGATTTTTAGGATATAGTCCACCATGCTTACCACTGATCCACTGGAGGTTAAATATTTATTTGTTTGATGTTAAGCATAAAGATACACAGTGAATTGTCTGTGCTCTGCTTACTGCAGGTATCGAAACCCGATATTTACCATTATAAGCCCTCAGACTTACCCCTGAGCCATCGGGGGAAGGGGCTAAAGAAGGCGAAAATGGAAACGATGATAAAAATAATATAGCAACCTATTATTTGACGTTAGTTTTTATTTATTTATTTTAAAGTATGTATAGGTTACTTATAATGAGAAGATAACGTTATAGACATTAGTTGGAAATTAGTCGACAAATCTTAATAGTAGCTACTAGTATAGCCTTTAAACAGACAGAAAGCTTGTAGTATAATAGTAATTACTTATGAAATTTGATATCTTATACAAATTCCAAAGTCTTTTGTAAGCAAGATGTTGAGTTATGACTGATAAAGCTAGTTTTAGACTTCGTTTATGCAAAAATTCTTTTAACATAAAACTACTTTTGTTCTATATACATATATTCCCAGATAACCACGTGACAAGCCGTTTTTTAACATTTCCATGTTGTCTGTGTCCAGATAATTCTCAATTCCATGCATCGCTACCAGCCGAGAGTTCATGTTCTTTACTGTAATCTTAAAGAGGAAGAACCCTTTCAAACACAAAACTTCAAAACCTTCGTTTTTCCAGAGACAAAATTTATAGCAGTAACGGCTTATCAAAATCATAGAGTGAGTAGGAATTCTTTGTATATTATAATTTATATTTTCAAACCGTTTGAAAGTTACCATTTTAGAAATTTTGTTTTGTTGTGGATCAGAAAGTTTCGTTGACGTTTTTATTATCAACACTTCAAAATACGCCTAATTATTAAGATGTATGATAATACTTAAAGATATGATCATGAAATGCATACAACGTTGATTTTTAACACATTTTTTTACATTAGTCACCAGAAGATGCCCGTAACTGCTAACATTCCAGGATGATAATAACGAAACTACGTTGTAAAAAGGAGTTACCTTAAGTGTTACAAGGTTTACCATTTGTGCTGTAAATGGAAGTGTCTTCTTAAATGAACTGTGATGTTTGGGGATGGAGCTCACATTAGAAAGTTTATATATACTTTTATTTGATGATGCTAATAAAATGTCTGAAAAATTAAAAGTTTATATAGAAGTGTTTATATATATATATATAGGGCCTTAATATTCAAGATATTTAGTCACCTTTGATAAAAAATATTATGTACTAGGATCAGTTTAGAAATGCAGTTTCGATTTATATAACTTATAAAATTAATGTTAATTGTTGTTTCTGCAACATTTTGGAAACTATCGTATCATGTCTGAATACCGTAAACTGAAACTACGCTTTAGTTGAAATATTATTTACTCTTTGATAGAATTCGGTTTGTTATAAGTTCATACAAAACCTTAAGTAAAAAAGGAAAGCGACGTATGAGAAAGTTTGTGTATTATTATATGAACTTATGACTGTAAAGTTTATCTGCTATATATGATTGGCGACGAGGCCATTCACGAAAGACAAAGTAATGGTTTTGGCGCTATTTATACCATCAGTTGCATAGTTATGGTGTGAACTAGATTAAGTAAGCAAAGTGTAATTATCACGAAAGACAAAGTAATGGTTTTGACGCTATTTATACCATCAGTTGCATAGTTATGGTGTGAACTAGATTAAGTAAGCAAAGTGTAATTATCACAGATTTTTATTTAGATCACTTACCAATTAGAATTAGAGTAAGGATTAATAATACAATATTATTTATAAATATATTTTCTGTCGTTTTCAGATAACTCAACTTAAAATAGCTAGCAATCCGTTTGCGAAAGGTTTCCGAGAAGGAGATAGCCAAAGATGGTAAATATCTTGGAATCTAGCAAATGTCCATTTTTACCTCCAAGTAAAAACTAATGCAATCGATAAGTCATGCACTTCTAGTCCTACGCCATGTAAGAAATATTTAGAATATAGCATGCTATTTAAAGGTGTCTGCGATGGATAATAAACACAATATGATAAGAAAAATGAGTGTCTCCTACATATAAACCACTATGAAAATGTTAACCTGAATCGTTACCTAAATACATATGTGTAGTAAAGAACATAAGAACAAACTTCGCGTGTGATGGGCTTGGCATGGCTAGGTGGTTAGGGCGCTCGACTTGCAATTTGCAAATTGCGGGTTCGAATCCCCGTCCCACCAAACATACTCGCTCTTTGAGCCGTGGGGGCGTTATAATGTGATGGTAAATCCCACTATTCGTTGGTAAAAGAGTAGTACAATAGTTAGCGGTGGGTAGTGATGACTAGCTGCCTTCCCTCTAGTATTTCACTGCTAATCAGGGACGGCTAGCACAGACAGTCCTCGTGTAGCTTTGCGCGAAATTCAAACTTGTGTGTGTTGGAGAGTATTGATTTACTATGTGCTCAGCTTAGTGACCAAAATGGTCTTCAAAAGAAAAGAAAATACGTTAGGTAGTTTACCCTCCATAGAATATTCCTAATAAAAGTAATACACAATAATTTAATTGTCGTTCTTTTCTGTGGACATTACTCTGGATATGGCGTGTCCTAATGGTTAACCTTTCGGGCTGTTTATCGGAATGCCTAAAATTCGGGCCGCAATATGGCTCTGAACAGGCTCGCACTCTTAGCTGTGGGGCGCTGTAATCGTGACCGTCAAGCCCTTCGTTCGGTTAAGTGATAGGCATCCGATGCTGATGATTTGCTGCTCTGTGTCTGGTTAATAACTGTTCTAAACAAAAGATGACTGTGCCTGGCCGTTCAAATAAAGTACGGTTGAAGTTGAAAATACCAATGCATTTATTACGGACAATTCGACTGTTACTAACTATGTATAGTATGAACTTTAATATTTTTGTTCATTATATTTCAAATATGGATTATGTTATCGGTACGTTAAGATAAGGTATTGAACATAATTGCTAACTTAGGATATATATTGACATTTGGTTGAAACATTTTGGGATCACATTTTATACTTTTTAAACAGTTGCTGTGTTTTTAGGGCAAAGCTACACAATTTGCTATCTGCTGTGAAGAATTAAAACCAGATTTTAGGACTGCATGTTCGAAACTTATTTTTTACCCACTGGGGGCTGATCACTTAAAAAAAAAGATGACAGTCAAGTGAAGTGTAAACAGTAACAACCAAAGCCAACTTAAAACTGTTGGTTCAGTTTTAGAAAATGAAATGTTATAAACTGAGACGCTCAATCGATATTGGTTTAAAGCAAGTTACATAGTCCTGCGATGGTGACATTTTTACATGTGTTACATGAATCCATTTTTCTCCATCACGTACAGATTTTTCACAAAACGCCTTAACGCAATACATAGAATAAAGACTAAAAGACGTAGATTTCACACACAAAAAATGATGAAAAAAGGATGAATGAGGATGCGTATTCATTTGTTATCAATGTTCTTCCCTCTTCTTCAGCTTGTTTGTATTTTTCTTAATAAACATAATAATAAGAAATGTTCATTGTAGTAAATAAAATAACAAGTTGGTCTAAGTAAGAGTTTTATTCTTCCCGAATTGTAAAAAATCCTTACGTGATAGAAAAAACTCAATATTATTTTCGAAATCTGCTTAGCTGAATTATGGAAAATCTGTTATTAAAACCACCACAACTTTTATGAAGTTTAAATTCGCAGCCTGTGTTATTGGAATACATCTGAAACATAAGGTTTCCTTTAAACTTCTCCTCGGCGAGTTGAAATATTAATTTTGTTCATTACAAAACCGAATTGTTTGTCTCAAATAATATCAGTGATCTCCTTACTTCAAAGGATTCTGCATCATATCTTCATAGAGTATTAGATTTAGCTCATTCAAGTCATACTTCAAACAATTTGCACACCTGATACGTTGAAAACATATGGAAAGGAGGTTACAGAAAAAAAAAAGTGAAATATGCTTTATGCTTCTTTCAAACTATTGGTACTTTTCAAAATGAATTCTTTTATATATGCTTTGCAAATTAAATGTCTACAACATTTTGTGTGATCTAATCGTATTATAACAGTAATGTGTAAGTTATTAAACAGCCTTGTTCATTTAGACCTTATAGTGTAATGTTTGAAATCACTGTTTCAAATATATTTACATTATATTATTCGTAGGTCTGCTTCTTCAGCGTTATCTGACATGTTTGCGCGACTACCGCCGATCCAGCGACCTAGGAATCCCCAAAGACCAAGTTCTCTTCATCTTCTCGGCCTTTCTCAGGACTCGTCGGTTTCCAAAACTGAAAAAGGTATGTCGTGTTTAATAAACTTTATTTGACATTTTGCTACCCCTAATCGCTGCGCTTAAAATAAACGATTCAAAATGATATTATAAATCATTTATCTTAGCCCGGAAGCCGCCAAAGGATAAGATTTATCCATGTTTATAACACTGTACACTGACCTTGTATGGGTGATACAGAATAATCATCTAGGATGTTAAGTTTTAGGTAATTACTTATGGCAGAATTCAACTGCCTGTAAACCATTAGTGTTATTTTTACACGACGTTATGATCTATCACACTAATCTTCAATGATTTGAGCCGGTAGGGGGAAAAAGGAAGATAATTTTAGATGCTTCCATATTTGGTGAAAAAGATTTACTGCATCTGAATACTTTGTTTTGTTTACTTTATTTACACCAGTAAAAACGAATTTAAATTCGATGACGAGGAATCCACTTTGAGACTGATAATGGTTGGAGACGGCCTGAATGGGTAATGAAGAAAACTTTTAATATAAGTTTACATTTGCTGTTATGTTAAACTTATATTAAAGTTTTTTCTTCAGTACCCATTCAAGCCGTCTCCAGCCATTAAAAGACGAATTTAGATGGACGTGAAAGAGAAGAGAATCCTCTGAATTTGGTGCTTTTAGACTACTAAAGGACCAACTGCATTTTCAAGGAAATTCGGATTGCGAAAATTAAAATACTAGAGACGCTTAGTATTTTAAAGCAAATATGTGTATAGATTTTAGTAACAAGCTTAGTTTATTTTTGAAAAGTATTCAGACCATTTGTAAGGTTCCTAAGTTCCGCTGTGCTTAAGGTTGTAACGTTCTCTAAATGAAAAGGTTTAAGCTTTTCAATGTCTGCGGACTTACAACGCTAGAAACAGGGTTTCGATACCCGTGGTGGGCAGAGCACAGACAGCCCATTTCGCAACTTTGTGCTTAATACCAAACAAACAAACAGTCCTATCAATAATACATAAAATTAATGTACAAAAGTAGTTATTTTCTAATTTCTGGAAAAGTAATTACAAATTAGCGATAGGTCTTAATTCCCCCAAATAATTTGCACCACAAAAATGTGTAGTTTATAAGATACTCTAAACATTATTTGATAGTATTTTGATGTCTCTAGCATGGTTTCTTGAGGAAAAGTTATAAAATATCAAGATATGTTCCATAAGTGAATGTGAAACAAGTCTTCTGTATAACCGAGAATTATTTTTTACGTTATGTTCAATTTGTTAACAGATTATTTTTTTAACGTTTATCTTGTTTGTTTGTTTGTTTTTGAATTTCGCGCAAAGCTACATGAGGGCTATCTGGTCATGCCGGGCCAAACGTTTAACACCACCTGGTCATGCCGGGCCAAACGTTTAACACCACCTGGTCATGCCGGGTCAAACGTTTATCTACATGAGACGTTTTCATAAGTGAAAATTTTGTATCGCTTTAATGGAACATCTTGCTTTACAGAAGGTTAAAGATACTTAGCATGAGGTAACTAAGTATCAAGTGATTAAATTTTGTGTATCTTGGTACTGAATTTTTTTCATGATACACAAGTTCACTTAACATTTGTAAAAATGTATGGCGAAAAGCATTTATTTTCTCAATACCTTTGTATAAGAATCTATTTTTGTCTCACGAATGCACGCGAATGTTTTAAAGGTAGAAGTAGTCTGTAATGTCATTACATTTCTCTTCTGTTTCATTAGTTTTGTATAAAAATATATGTAATAAAAATACGAAATTTTCAAGAAAAAAATATAGGACGTAGATGTTGCTGTTAACTCGTCAGCATGTATACTAGTGTACAGTACACTATATGATAGTTTCAAATTCGATGACGAGGATCCCACTTTGAGACTAATAAGGGTTGGAGACGGCTTGAACAGGTAATGAAGAAAAACTTGTACATTTGCTGTTAAATCGTCAGCATGTATACTAGTGTACAGTACACTATATGATAGTTTCAAATTCGATGACGAGGATCCCACTTTGAGACTAATAAGGGTTGGAGACGGCTTGAATAGGTAATGAAGAAAAACTTGTACATTTGCTGTTAAATCGTCAGCATGTATACTAGTGTACAGTACACTATATGATAGTTTCATGTTCGATGACGAGGATCCCACTTTGAGACTAATAAGGGTTGGAGACGGCTTGAATAGGTAATGAAGAAAAACTTGTACATTTGCTGTTAAATCGTCAGCATGTATACTAGTGTACAGTACACTATATGATAGTTTCAAATTCGATGACGAGGATCCCACTTTGAGACTAATAAGGGTTGGAGACGGCTTGAATTGGTAATGAAGAAAAACTTGTACATTTGCTGTTAAATCGTCAGCATGTATACTAGTGTACAGTACACTATATGATAGTTTCAAATTCGATTACGAGGATCCCACTTTGAGACTAATAAGGGTTGGAGACGGCTTGAACAGGTAATGAAGAAAAACTTGTACATTTGCTGTTATGTGAAATTTATATTAAAGTTTTTCTTCATTACCCATTCAAACCGTCTCCAACCATTATATGATTTCTTTGTCGAGACTTTTTATTAACATATTATTAGAAAACATCTTTAGATGCCACATGAACATGATTGTACCATACAGAAACTTTCGTGTACTCGCTTCTGTGTTACTGCTACTGTTTATCAGTGCTACACACTCGTGGGGTGCTCGCTTTTCTGCCACTCAGAGTTTCTGCTTTTGCTTCTAATGACAGTTATACTCTCGTGGGAAGTTTGTTTCTCCACTACTCAGTGTTCCAATGTATATTTCAAGCATGCTTACAAATAAAAACCAATTTTTACATAAACCAGATTAGTCCAATAATCATAACCTTTCTGTTTATTTTAAACCAATGTATTGAAACCTTAGATTTTTCAATTGCTCAAGAAACATGTAAAAATTGATACTCGAAAATGGATATTCGATATTAATTATACACCGGAACCAGATCTAATAGCGGATATGTATGTTTGTTTAATATGCAATACCTATACTGTAAAATATATGAGTTTTTAACTATAGGTTTATCGTCATTAGCTTTGTTAAGATATAATAGATATGTTCAGAACCTATTACTAGAAAATATCTTTATTTCACCTGCTAGCTGTGCGTTGATGTTACACACATTAATAAATTTGAAGCTATTGCACCATTTTGTTCTTAATATATCGCCTTCAAACTTTGGAAGTGAGACTAAGAACAACAATAACAAAAAAAAACAGAAAAAAACGTCCGTTAAATATCGATTATTTCACTTTTATCCATTTTAAAAGTTCTGTAGTCCTTTGATTTAGGGTTATTTTACAGTTGAAACAATAGCACTTTAGAAAAACTCAGGAACGTTCGGGATGGAGGTGTATATCGGAGCTGGGTTCGAATCTCGAAACCGTGTGATACTACAATAATATTCCACGCACTTTATGCTGTGAATGCCTTATAAGAGTGACAGTCAAACTATCAGCGCGGATGGTAGAGAGTTGTACTGCCGAGGAGCTGCCTTCCTGCTGGTCAGTTGTTCAAAATTACCGAAGTCCTTAGTAGCTATTGCCACAAAGTACAAATATAAAAAATTCTACTTTGTGAGGGAGAAAATGCGCGAAAAGCGAAATCCAGTTTCTTGTTTATTGGCTTCCTAGAAAAGATAAAACGATTATGAACATCTTCATTCATGTAGCTATTCTAAACTATTTTTTTGTGTTTAAATGTAAGAAAAGCTGTTAAATGTTGTTTAGTACAGCGACCTATCTCCTGTTAGTTCTTTGCTGATCATCAGCTTACTCCAACCTTTCTCAACTTTATCGACACCAGGGACTGGCTCGTTGCCTCACTAAACTGTCGCGGACCACTAAAATTCAAGTAAAAAAAATAAAAAAACCTTGGGATTTTGAAAAGAATATTGTGTATGTTTTTTGTTTGCTTGTTTTCATGACACCCCACGGATCAGCAAGGTTGTTATGACGGACCGGTGATTACGAAACACTGACCTGGTCGTTTATTAAGCAGTGCAGATTCAACAGTTTTATACAATATTAAGATGATATTTTCAAATAAGTTAAACTTCCAGTATCTTCTTTATTAAGGCTAATTTCTTCTTGAGATAAATTAATTTCACACTGATATCAAAGTCATGTACTGAGGAATGATGTTGTCATTTGTTTAAATCAAAATATTACTTGTTTCTTGATGACACGTGATTTTTCGCTTTAACCTCTTTTTATATTCACTCTTCAACATCAAAACCGGATCTTATTGAAGAAACTTTTACGATTCTTCTTTTTTTTAATTCACAGAAGATCCAAACGACGAATTGTCTGGTGGAAGTCTTTTGTCTCGGGTAATCGGGTCGAGCTTACAACTAACAGGAGGACTCCACGTTCCTTCGCAGCTATCCCACGGTGATCAAGGTGGATGTCCTGTGGGACAGCCTTATGCAGGAGATGTGTGTAACTACGGACCTGTTTATGACAGTTACATGTATCAAATGAAAAATAACAATCCGCCCTACTCTAGACCTCCACTTCACTACTCTAGTTACCAGAGTACACACAAGTATAATGGATTGTACCCTGCGAGACCAGTACAGGAAGACTTTAGTTATTCTCCCAAGTGAAACTGGGTCCATAGGATTGAGGTGTTTAATTTGTAAATAAAACAAAAACTGAGAATTAAATGCATTCCGGCTGATTAGTATAATACTGTATAAAGAACCCTTTTACAAATTTGAGATTGAACTCGCAAATAAATCAAAAATAGAAGCTAAAAATATAAAAAAATATATTTATTATTTTTTTAGCTTAATGCTTGAGGTAACAATGAATTTAAAATATTTTAATGAAATGAAAAAAAAAACACCACCAACAATTACATTTGAAAGTTTCAATATTACATAAAAGTATCTGAGAGAAGTGATATAATTAAACACTCAGTACATGAAACAAGGCCTTCGTGCCTGTTTAGCTTAATCATCATTGAAAAATACAGTATATATATTAAATGTATATAATTTCATGTCATTCTGGTGGAATATTGTACATTGTAGTCTGATATCGAAAAGAATGTTTGTCACAGTGAAACCAAAATGTTTCTCTAAATATTAAGATTTATAGAGAGAAAAACATGTGGTGTGCTAATATAATATTGATAAAAAAAATTGAGGCTAGGAGAGAGTACAAAAACATTTTGGAAGGAGCTTTTTCCTCCGGAAAAATATTTCTATATATGTATATATATATACGTATAACATGTTAGGCTAATGTTAGTACTAGTAAGTCATTCAACTTCGAAAGGAATAGAGAATAGTCTAGGGAAGAAGCTTGCTACTCCAAAAAATATATATTTACACTAATTTGTGGACTAATTAATATTGATTTCTAATCAGAGCAAGCTACCTAATTACAGCGAAACTAAACATGAAGCTGGTAAAGAACATAGCTAATTAGATCCACTTTTCTTACGCCCTTACTTATGAAAATTAGAATGCCATTGTTTCATCAGTCGCTGTTAATGATATTTTTCGGACGTAATCTCAATAATCTCTAAAGAAGATTTTAGTTGGTCCTAAAATACATATATTAAGCTAACAATGCAAAGCAGTCTACCACAGTGAAAATATAATAACAATATAAAAATTAAAATTAATAAAATTAGATATATTAAACATTCTAACCACTGTTGCAAATGAAAGCAATAATTATAGAAGTAATATAGCATACCATACTTACGGAACGTACAAAAAATAGCTTTTGGTTTCAATTACTGTAAACAATTCAGCCTGGAAGGAGGTACAAAAAATTTCAGGAGGAAGTTAAATTACTCCGAAAACTTTCGAAGGCTTTCAAATAACCCTGCATGTCAATAAACTTTACAGTCACGTGTTTCCGTACAAAAAAAAAATGATGTGATTTTATTCACAGTTATTTAAAACATTTTAAAAAGTGATTTACAATCTATATTACCAAACGCAAATTTATGAATTAAATTTGCACTTTGAATTCACCAACAGTGAGTGTCAAATAAACGATTTGCTCGCAATAAATATTTTTGTAGAAAAACAAGTTTCTGTTTTTATTTTATTCTTCGTGTCACTAGGTTCGCTAGCTTTGGCTTACACAGCGTAAAATTAAAATATGTTTTCTGTTCTTAACAATTGATTGAGCAGTATTCTGTATATTTCTGTTTTATATTTGTCACTATTTTCAGTCAAGATAAATATATTAAGTTTTTGTTTCTTGTTAAACACAAAGCTACAAATAGGGGTATCTGTGTAATACCCACCACGGGTATCGAAACCCAATTTTTAGAGTTATAAGCCTTAAGACTTACTACTGAGTCACTGGAGGTGCAGGGATAGCTATTTTAAGAAAGTTATTATGCAGAAGCATGACCTATTTTCTCAGAAGGAGGGGGATAAAGATGGTTCTCCTATTATAAATATTATAAAAAGTAAACAGTTGAAGATCTACCTCATACCAGTGTCACTACGATGGAAATTTATCTAAAAGGTAGCATTATAAAGTATAAACAAAAATAATAGAATCCATGAAAATGCCTCTGCAAAAATCTAAGACAATTACACCAAATAGTTTTTACTTGTAGAGTCACATAATACACAGAATATTACATCTTTACCATCACGACCTTTAATTTGGTTATTTGTGTATTAAGGAACTTTATATTCTTCTCTGCACAACCCCTAGTAGCTGTTGTGCATTTTTCTCCTGTATTTCATCTACTATATTCCTAATTATAGGCTATGATCTGACTTGACATAACAAAACATAATGTTTAGGGACAACAAGGCACCTATTGGTTCATCTAGGCTGTCCCATCTTCTAAACTAAAATAAATTATTAAATAGAAAATAAAATAAAATGAATATATGTCAAAGCCACCCCTTATCATTCATGTAGTTATCAAGCTTTCTCTTAAACTCACTTACATTTACCGTCTCCATAACATCCGAAGGTAATACATTCCAAAGGCCAATCACCCTGTCTTAGGTGAATGTGACTCCTACCTTACCAAAATTACGTCCCCTAGTCCTACTATGTTCGCCGTTAAGTACGAAAAAAAAGATGATGCATCAACTCTAACAATTTCCTTAACAACCTTAAACACCTCAATCAGATCCCCTCTAGCTTTTCTTTTTTAAAGAGAAAACAATTTCAGAAATCTTAACCTCTCCTCGTATGACAAGCTCTCCATCCCAGGCACCATTCTAGTAGTCCTTCTCGATACCATTGCCAACAATTCAATGCCTTTTCTAAGGTAAGGAGCCAAAGTCAGAATAGAATACTCCTAATGTGACCTACCAGTAACCTATACAATACAACTATAACCTATTTAGACTTGTATTCAATATTTCTGTAGATACAGCCTAAAATTCTACTTGCCCTACCACTAGCAACAACACACTGCATGGATGACTTAAGAGACTGATCAACCACTACATCAAAATTCTTTCTGTTAAGGTTATTTCCATCCAAATTATACTTATAATTCAAATTATGATAACCAACATGCATTATCTTGCATT